TTGTTGTTATTGAGAACTGTATCACTCAAGAGGGTTTGAGGATCTTTAAACAACAAAGCCAACCCTTACAGAGCATGCTTCAGTGTCAACTCAAACATCTCAATGAGTTGAATGGGATTTAGCACTAATTAACAATGTGTGGGATTTCAGTGCTTTTCATGTTTAGTTTTGATCAGTGCTTAAATGGGCTCACAGAAAAGTCTAATGGACATCAGTTTCTTAACAGATGTTCAGCTGAGTCACGTCTGTAAGGCACCAACATACTGATATTTGGCAGAAAGTGCTGGATTGGGAGTCATCCTTTGAAGTGAGAGACACTTAGGAGAAAAACAAACATATGTGGGATATATCCTAGCATTGGCTTTCCCCCTTTTAACAAATGAATGGTAACTCATGATTATACTACAGATTTACATGTTTTTTAATATATATTTCAGATGTTCTAAATGATCGGTGTCTTGTTGTCTGAATGCCAGGTTTCTTGATTTTGCATTGTAAACTGCTTTGATAGTTCCCCTTTCTGATAAGAAAAATATATATATACCTGCAAACTGTTTAAACAAACTAACAATAGGCCACTTTTCATTTGACTGCAGGGCTGGTTCTTAAAGTGCATTTCTTTTGTACTGAAGGTGTTCTTGCCCACCACACTTGAAAATATATTGTATTCTCATGAAGAAAAAAATATTTAAACTAGCAGATTGCTGACCCAACCGGATCCAATTCCAGTTACTGTAGCAGCTGGAAATAGAGTCCCAGCAACTACAAGCAATGCAGTCAGCAATACCCTATAGGACATTTCCCTATCTTTGCACAGCCATTCAACGAGGAGTTAAAACTGCTCTTATTTGCAAGAATGCTTTTCGGTTAATTGAATTTTACTCAAGTTCAACATTATTATTTTTCTGTATTTATAGGAATAATTCACTTCAACAGGATTCAGGCTGTGCTAGGGACACATCTCAAAGAAATCATTTCAAAAAAGGCAACAAAACTCTTCTCATCCAATACATTTTGCAATAAAGTGGCTTAGAGGAATCACAAATGTATAAGGGTCTTTTCACCCTTTGTCTCCTATGGCATTTTCTGTGTACTCCTGAAAAACCGCTCCTGGTGTTAGGGAACATTTAACATAGAACAGGGGCAGATGAAGGCCGACTCAGCTTGAGTATTAGATCCAAACTAATAAATTAATTCAGAATGTGAAATGATTGTATAGAAAAAAACTGAGGCACCAATTCTAAAATAACACAGAAGAGCAGGAACATTTTTTTTTATTTTGGCTTTTACCACAGGAAGCATACCATTTTATCTTCATTTTGCATAAATCACTTTTCCACCCCTCTATCATCCCCATGAAGTTTATGAGCAAATAAATTCAGTACAGCTCAAGGTACAATAGTTTCAAAGGTAATTTTACTATGCCCCGATAGTCAGTTTCAATAAATTAAAAAAGCTTGCCTTCCCACAAAGTCAGGGGCTTCAAGTACAATTTCTTTAGGAACATTACAGAAACTGAGCGGTGAGATTACGCGAGTGCCACATAAAACTGGCAATACATTTAATCCTTTGATTGAAGATGGCACACAGAACAAAAGACACGTTCACTGTTTGTCCTTGAAACTTCTGGATGCGACTGTAAGCACATATTCAAGACGTTCAGTAAACACTACACATTCGACACTCTGCGAAGCTCTATTTCCTTAATCCAATCAGCCCACCACCATATAAAAGGATGCAAATAAGGATCTACCTGCACACAAATGGTTGGTTATGGCAATGACCATCTAGTGATAGAAAAGAGTGTCGGGAGTTAATGTACATATTACCAACTGGAACTATCAGATCTAGTGGCACTAAGTGACAATCTGCTTGGCTGTGCAAGTGTCATGCTGAAGTCAGGGATTTGCCATGTTGTGCATGTTTTTGACAACAAGGAATCACAACCAGAAGGGCAGCACATCCATGAGAGCCATCTTTCAGGCATGAATCACCCTTGCTGGACTGCGATCTCTGGCCAACAAGGAGGGGCAACTGGCACTATAGGTATACTTTTAGCTAATAAGTTATTACTTTTAAGACAAGATATTTTTAAATGATTTATTTGCCTCTGTCCCTATGATAAATCCACAAAGCTGGAACACTTTATTCATAAGGAGACCATAATAGTTTCAATCTGAAAACAAAAGAAAGAGCAAAAATAAGTTATTTTTTTTCTCCCAGGGGTATAATGATATTTCCTATAGTTCAAGGTGAGAAATTGGCAGAGATTTTACCAAAATCAGAAACATGTATTTTCCAGTGATTTCAACTATCCACTGTTAAGGCACTCCGTGCATGATAAATACTTTGGATGGTTTTAGAGATATTGTACTAGAAAATCTGAAGTAATGAAATTGTTTTCTTGTAGCCTTACATTTTTGTTTTCAGTTGGAAGATAGTTATTTTGTTTCTTGATAGGGACCAATAAACTTGCCCAGTTACTTAATCAAAATGCAAGCTGAATGTTCAGAGTTGCTCCAATGACATCAAAGTAACAGCTTGCTACAATCAATATACTTAATAGGAACACCGTAATGTTGTTTTATATTTGCAATGCTAATACAATTAGCTTTATTTGACAAATGTCTGAATATAGTGAAACAACAAATATATAGGCAGAAGCAGGGCCATACACTATTATGGGACAAAATTGTTTGGCCCTCTTAATTTTTCATGGTCAAAATAATAAAAAAGGCACAGTGAGTTCTAGCTTAAAGGAGGTATTAGAATTATTTTAGTATTGAAATGACATTTTAATTTAGTTTGCTCTAATTGGTGCCTTTATATCTAGATTAAATAAATTAAATGTCTTGGAGGATACTGGAGGATACGTTCCATTGCTGTGGCACATGGATAGTCCTGTTTCATTGGAGTAAGCTATTTGATTCAGAAAGTGACAGAATACAAAAGTTGCATAAGGCCAATCGAGGATGACTTACAATGTTTGAGAAACAACTCAAAACAACTCATTTAAAGAGATTATGTACTAAAACTTTTACCCAAGTTTTAGTACATAATCAGGAATGAATCAATGGGCTTTAAACTGAATTGTTTCTTTTGTGTATTATTAAAGTTAACTTAAGAATAATGTTGAAAAAGGGATGTTAATATTTTTTCAGATTATACTCAATTATCAAAATCTGCACATTTAATGCACTAAAGTACAGCAATAGAATTTGACATGCATTTGAGTCCTAAAATGACATGTTTTGAGTTAGTAAACAGCATAAGTATGTATTTTGGTAGAATATAGCTACATCCCTCTTATATATAAGCACGAATACTATTCATGCATTTCATTTATCTTAATAGAGGCTCTTCAATGAATTGAGGTGACAGGCAAAGATATTTCAGGTGTCTCAATGTAATATAAGAGAAAACAAGAGGGGTTTTTATCCAGCAAGAGTGGTTCACATACAGAAGTGGGCTTCATGAATGTAATTGTCCTCCAGGGATGTGGTCCTATGTGCACAAGGAAGTGCTACATGACCAGGAAAACCTGCAGAAATCCAGAGGTATTGTACAGCTTGCACACACACCACTGGGAGAGAACAAGAGTTGGCTATGTCTACTCCAATATTTCAAATGCTTCGCTGGAGGGATGGAGTGTGTGTTGAATCAGTCCTGTGCCAACAAACAATTATCACTGTCAAGACAGTGCTTACTGTCTTCTTGGTCAGCTGCCAAAGCAGTGAGATCCCTGAATGCAACTTACCACTGCAGATCAAGGTCCTTGGACCAGGTCCAACCATTATGAACAGTAAGCAGTGTATTTCAGTTGTGTAGAAGGAGCACAAAACATATATGTGGAAACATTACAGGAAATATCAAGTGGTACATCAATTATTCTTAATTCAAACACAAGATCCTGACATTGCTTTAATGCATCCTGCACACCAAGCTTTGTGCAGAATTTGAACATCTGAATTTTTTCTAAATATTAGAAAAGTTTCTTACAGAACTATTTGACATTATAATGAAGGACTAAAATCCCTGAGTAAACAAAAGACAACACACAAGTTTGGCCTGAGAAAACACAATTATTGGGGGCTAGGTAAAAGAATACAATCTTTAAAGAGGTGTGTTTAAGGCAGCAGTCAACTTTAGGAGACGACATAATAACTGAGAAATGTAATGAGCCTGTTAAACTATTTGTAGCAATGTGAAGTTGGATCCAAAGCTTGCCATGCTCAGTGAAGACTCACTGAAACCCAGCTCAATGACAAGCCCATTATGCTGACTTCAACGGGTTTACTCCAAACATAATGAGGTTTACTCCAAACATAATGCAAATGAACATCTGCCTTGGCAAGAAACATTCCTTCTAGCACAAAGTTTTTGATTCCGCAGGTATTTTCTGCTGCCTGATGGGAGGAGTGATATTCTCAATTCCTCATTTTCTGTGCAATCCCCAAAGTAACCATAAGATCTGTTTCTGAAGACTGGGAGATCCTCCAGAACAGTGGAGGCAATGGCACTTTCAAGATGCACTGGGAGCTGAAAAGGACTTTTACCAGTCAGACATTTTCAAGCTGAACTCCACTCATGGACCTTCCCTACTGATAGAATAAGAACCCTGGATTTCAACTCGCAGTGTTTGAATTTTAATAGAAACTAGTTCACTTTAAAACTACATTTTGATTCTAATTAAGCTGAATTTTGAAATCTATCAAAAGCACTCTGATTTTAGCAGAGGAAAATGTGGTAGCGTGTGGACTGCTGGGACTTCAAATAGTAAAGCAGACTGGTGGTAGCACATTAAACCACAAGCTACGGTGGACATGCTGCCTGACAAATTATATCCTCAATAAAATTCTGCAGAGACTTTGAGATCCAATGATTAATCCATATGATGCATCACAATCTGTTGTCTACTGATCAATGAACTTCTTCAGTCATTTAGAGTCATAATGTTTTGAGGTAAAATGGACACCAAATAACCACACATGACACAGGACTTGCAAAATACTCCACTATTGTTTTTGGCCAACACAATCTTGGATTTAAAAAAATTCTTCAGCACATGAGAAGGAGTGCATTTATACACCAACATAGGTCTTATGATCCTGTGAGCACAGCTCTGGCCATAGAAAGGGGGCCACTGGCACCTGCTTATTCAGGGATGGAAGTCTGGCTCCCCATAAATTGTTTGACTGTAGCTCCAAGAATTCTTTACCAAAGCTGTTTTGGCTAGGACTGTTGGGATGAGCAGTCCAGCATCATCTGGAGGATACATGATTCCCAGTCCCTGCACTAAAAGAAAGGAAAACAGTTTTCATTGATTGCCAATCTCCCATGCAAGAAATTTGGAAATTTGCTCTGGATGGTTAGAATGCCCTACTGAACAACACAGGAGGTGGCTCTAAGATGGTGAAGGGAAAATGAATTCTACCAAATCAAAACTTCCATTCACCAAAGGATTATCCTTCCCCACTTTTCTTGCTTGCTTCGGTGTTAGTAGAATGAAACAAAACATTTTAAAAATGTCCTTAATTTTACTCGTTACTGAATTTAAATCAAGTAGCTACATGTCTTGGTATCCATTTTAAAAAAAAGATATAAAGTAACTCCAGATACTTGCTCCAGCACTCAAAAGAAGTGTCACTGGGTTTTACCAGACTGAATCAGTTTTTTAAAGCATACAATTTCACCAATGGCAATTCGATTGCTTATATGTAATATGTTTGCACATATGGGCCAATTCCAATATTCAATAACAAACTTTACAAAAAAAGTAGAAGACCCATATATAGAAAACTGAGGATGCTGGGATAACGCATGTACAAAGAGTCTGCTGTTTATCCAGCATTCATGAACATTCCAATGTTTTGGGCAAAAATCAAGAATTTTTCCAAAAAAAGCTACACACAAGGACAAGTGCGCAGTTTCTTACTGTATGAAGGAAATTGCTATCTGGCCCTGAGTTTCATCTGGCCTTACATTAATATCCGGAGGTATAGATATAGATTTTCCTGGGAAAAGACTGAAAATGATGCATGAATATAGTATATTTCTAGACAGCTCTAGTATCAACGGCTATTTTACCAACCACACTGCACTATAAAGTTCAAAATATACCGGCAAGAAATGCACAGTTTTCTAGGTTTTTTATATTTGATTTTGGCCGCATTCATAGTTGCTATGGCAGATTCCAATATTAAATTACTAGCCTATCATGTGTATTTTCACCAAATAGTGCTTGTATGTCAGATTCCAGAACTGAAGGCAGTTTGTTATCTCTTTTCCCTATCTCACCTGAATGTATTTGAAAATTAAACAGAATGAAAAGTTATTTTCACTAAATTGCTTGCACAATTCAAAACTACTGAAATGGCATACGTGTTCTCCCAAGGCTTTAAAAAGTATTAATCTCAGTCACTTCAAAAATCAACTGGAATCTCTATTTCTCTAATCATTTCCCATCATATTCCCTTTAAAGTATTGGGATTAGCAAGAGCTACTAACACACATGATTCATGATTCATAGACCAAGTTGCATATATAAAATAATTAACTACTGAATTCAGCACCTGACAGGATGTCGTCTATGGAACCAAACTCTAAAATAAAGAAAATAATCTTCACTCACTTTGAATCTAGATATTTTCCCCCCAAAAGGCCTAGAATTAGGTCAGTAACTAAAAAAATATGTTACCAAACTAAATGTTTCTTTCATCGGCTCATCAGTAGATATGCAGGCACAGTGTAGATACAGACTGTCCAAGAAAATAAAAATTGATCTAAACCTTGCGGTGCAGGTTTTTAAAAAAATAAACGTATTTAGAAACCTCCGTTTTTCTGAGGCACCAGAGCATAAAAGCAATCTGGCCTATCTCAAGTAGTGTATGGTGCAGAAGGAATGTGGTGGATCCCTCCTGATTGTCTGCCAGGGCTGCAGCTTCAGGACAGTTAACCAGCCCAATATTGCCATGTTGCACATCCTTGCTTAAGCCTTGCAGGACCAGCTCCCTTCAGACACACAACTGTTCACTCATACCAAGGCATTTCTGTCCGTGGTCTTTTCCTCTTCTTTTTACAAAGGCAATAGATAGGCAACACAAAAAAACCTGCCAAAACAAGGGAAAATACAGCACATTAATACAGGCTTAAATACAACACCATGCTAGCACCCAATAATATGGCAAATAATGTGGAATTTCCATCACCTTTTTCATGGTCTTTCTAGATTGCACTTGCCCTTTGAGTCCCATTTACAGGTTTCCCACCCCACCGTGCAACATAGCACAATGCATTTGGACTTTTCCCTCCCTGGCATCTGTTTTAAATAGGGGCTTTGTGTGAGAGAGAAATTGCAGGACCATCTGTCATGCGTGCTTTTAATGTGATTTTCCTGCTTCTTGGCAGGGAGTTGGACTGGATGGCCCATGAGGTCTCTTCCAACTCTATGATTCTATGACCCAGAGTCATCCTGCCTTCTCTTTGCTCCATCGTATTTCTGATAGTGGTAGAATCAGAAAAACACTTTGAGAAAAAAATCATCAGGTGCTGGATGTGTTATTAGCCCCCTTTCCTAAAAGGCAGAAGAAGTGGTATCAGCAAAAAGTCAATTTCTGGAGTCTACTGGATTTTGGATGTCTGGAAAATGAATACTCAATCTGTACAAGCACTGTGGTGTTGGAGGAAAGTATGATCCAACCAGTCCATACTTCAAGAAATAAAGCCCGACTGCTCATTGGAGGGAAGCATGATAGAGGCAAAGATGTACTTTGGCCACATCATGAGAAGAAAGAAAAGCTTAGAGAAGACAATGATGCTGGGGAAAATGGAAAGAAAAAGGAAGAGGGGCGGCCGACCAAGGGCAAGATGGATGGATGACATCCTTGAAGTGACCTTGAAGGAGCTGGGGGAGGTGATAGCTGACAGGGAGCTCTGGCGTGAGCTGGTCCATGAGGTCACGAAGAGTCGGAAACGACTTGAATGAACAACAACAAACAAGCACAGAATCTGAATTTTGTTACTGTGGTAGGAGCATCCTCTTGGCTGATTGCTGTTCATAAAACACTCCAGCTAGATAGCAGAAGAAAAGGAGAAAGAGGAGAAATGAGAGACAAAGTGACTTTCACTGTTTCCCACTTCTTACTGTATGCCCCCTCCAGTAGTGTGAAAGATGAGGAAGTAGAAAAAAATAATATTTTTTCACGGATGACATTACATACTAAATTCCTGTCCCTTGTATTCAAAAAGACTTATTATTCAAGTCAATATATTCATTGTTTATTCATATAGTGAATGGATGTGATCCAATAATTTGCCATATGGAAGATCTAGTCCATAAATTCTGAAGTCATTTATTTACTGCTAACTTCTTCGAGCCACTATTCACTAAAAATGTCACTTAACTTTCTCTCTCTCTTTTTTAAAAAAACAGCCCCAATCATTCATTATATTTCCCTAAATTATATATTTGCAGATCTTTACATTTCTGGAGACAGGCCCAAACCACAAAAGCCACATATTCCGGGCATATTGCTTTTTCTTCATCCTTTTTACTTTCTGATTACTTTTTGAGTTAGATTTGCTCCAAAATAAATACAGTATTGACCTCCATATCAAAAAGTGATATGTTCCTGGGCTTTGCATGGATATGTAAAATCACAGATAATTGCAAACATTGTTTCTTTTATAGGCCAAACACCTGAGAAGATGCCTTAAGTGAATAAGTAAAGTTGTGGATAATAGTATATTAATTCTGCAGATATGAGGACTGTGTCCAGAGGAGGGTGACTAAAATGATCAAGGGTCTGGGGAACAAGCCCGATGAGAACCAGCTTAAAGAGCATGTTTAGCCTGCAGAAGAGAAGGCTGAGAGAAGACATGATAGCCATGTGAGGGGAAGTCATAGGGAGAAAGGAGCAAGCTTGTTTTCTGCTGCCCTGGAGACTAAGACACGGAACAATGGCTTCAAACTACAGGAAAAGAGGTTCCACCTGAACATTGGGAAGAACTTCCAAACTGTGAGAGCTGTTCAGCAGTAGAACCCTCTGCCCCAGAGTGTGCTGGAGGCTCCTTCTTTGGAGGCTTTTAAACAGAGACTGGATGGCCTTCTGTCAGGGGTGCTTTGAATGTGATTTTCCTTCTTCTCGGCAGGGGGTTGGACTGGATGGCCCATGAGGTCTCTTCCAACTCTATGATTCTATGATATGAGAGTTGTCCTGCACTTCATTTTCCAACACACTGTTTCAAATATTATAATGAAGAACATACATTTTAGTCTTACCTACTATAACAGCTATGGCTCCCATTATTAGTCCCAAAACCAGTATCAATGGTGCAATCAGCAACTTCCCACCTGCAAAAAAAAAGTTACACGAAATTGTATATATTTCTTTACTCATCTTATGAGTAAGATAAACCTCTTAGTTCTGGATGGGTGAGAGAACTACAAATGGAAGAGTAACATATGTCATGACTTGCTTTTCCTCTGTATGTGAACCATTATTTATTTTACTTAATTGAAACCAGATATTGCATTATCATCTTCCTAGATTTCGGAGACCTGCATTTTACTCATGTTGAACCTTGCCAACATATGCTGAAGCCTGCATAGCCAGCCTCCTTGATTCCCCAAAGCAGCCTTGGAAAGGCAGGCAAATGAGAGCTTTACCCTCAATTTTATTTGACAGCTTTCAAAAATAGGATCTGGCCTTAAAGGACTATACTTTACACTGTAAATGGGATAAGGACCTAGTAGAAGAGGGGGCATTTGGCAGAAATCAAGTTTCTCTTATGAGAACCTGTAAATAAACTCCTTTGTTCTTACAATTTATAAAAAGTCTCAGCATTTGTACCTAAGACCAGAAGCCTCTCTTGATAATTTAGTTAACATTGCAGTAATTGTGTAATGGAACAGTCAGTACATCCATTATGTTTTATTGAGTTATCCGTTCCAAGAGCTGCTATACAGAAAGCAAATGTAATTATCATTGTTGCAGCTACCAGTTATTGTTATTTCCGGAGGTAATAGAAAGTCTACAGACTATACTCTTCCTCTAAGATGGAATGTCAACACCAGCATGACTATCAATCTATGAACTTTTATCAATATTTTCTTTTTGCTTGTTCTTTTAACCTCGACTCCCTTTATTACAAATATGTATTAACACCTATAGGAAAGTTTACTACTGTAGAATAATATGGCTTATTACAATACAATAACATTGTTTGGAAATTTTCTCTTAGTTGATTTTTAATGGCTGCTGTGTTATGAACCACACAAAGGAAATAGTTTAAATTTGCATGACTAATTTCTCTCAGTGCTCCTTTGTTAAATTGCTTCATCTGGAAGAAAACCTATCCAGATCTCCCCAGAGATGTCCAGAAAGAAGACTGACATGACTGTTCCTTTAGATCTATTTTCTTATCAAGATCTTTCTTATGATCTCAGTTTCAAAACCAAATGAAGCAAAAAATATTGTTGGTGTCCAATTTAAACAACTAATTTAAATGCCTGATTTAAAATTAAGATGACCAATATTGAATTTTTTGTGTAACTAAGAAAGAAATATATGCGTACTAACATTACAACAGTTATATGGCATTTTAGGCCAATAACTTCCATCATCATTGCAAACATACCTAATGATAATGGAGTATATGGGAGTTGGAGTCCCAAAACATCTGGAGTGCCACAGCTGTTAATTCCTTAATTCCTGTCCAATAAAGCAAAGCATTTTTGAGCCTATGTACAGAGCCTACTCCAAAGAAGAATCTAAATGACTATAATCCTATCCCAATGTGTAGAATCAATGTATGAATTATCATTGTCAAGGCAGATGGCATGACTTTCAGACATACTGAGGAGACTCTGTCTCCCTCTCTCCTTCTCCTAGAGTTAAGCAGCAGTTCTTGAGTATATGCAGAATGCCAGCATACCCTTAAAATTACCTGAAAACTCAAAATGAGTTTAGAATTATGTTTTGTTTTTAAAGTCACTTTAGTGATATGGCAAATTTATCTTCAACTCTTCAGAGTAAAAACCCCAGCAGTCTTTTCTGAGAAGTTATCCTCAAAATGAGGCCCATTTTCAAGTTCCAAGTCTAGATCCAGAGAACTCGTGCTACCCCTCTATTCTGCTTTGCTCAGACCACACTTGGAATACTGTGTCCATCACAATTTAAGAGAGATGTCGACAAGCTGAAAGGTATCCAGAGAAGGGTGACTACAATGATGAAGGGTCTGGAGAACAAACCCTGTGAGGAGGGACTTAAAGAGATCGACATGTTTAGCCTGCAGAAGAGAAGGCTGAAAGGAGACATGATGGCCATGTATAAATATGTGAGGGGAAGTCCTAGGAAGGAGGAAGCAGACTTGTTTTCTGCTGCCCTGGAGACTAGGACGCAGTGCAATGGCTTCAAACTACAAGAAAGGAGATTCCACCTGAACATTAGGGAGAACTTCCTAACTGGGTGAGCTGTTCGGTAGTGGAACTCTCTGCTCCAGAGTGTGGTGGAGGTTCCTTCTTTGGAGACTTTTAAACAGAGGCTGGATGGCCATATGTCTGGGGTGCTTTGAATGTGATTTTGATGCTTCTTGGTAGAGTTGGACTGGACGGCCCATGAGATCTCTTCCAACTCTATGATTCTAAGTTTCTAATGAGATGTATGTCCTGCAGTTAATCACAAGTTTTCAAACATATCTGGTAAGAGTAGGATTTATACCAAAGGGTGAGCAAATTAAATTAGAGCACTTGAGAGCCTTTCACACGATGAGGGACAGCATAGCTCTTACATCTGAGGGAGTTGCCAATCCTAGCTTATATCCTACTTAAAGAAATGCAACAAGGATACAAGAAAGCCAATGCACTAAATGTAGATTTGTTGTTATTAGTTTTGGACCAGACACAAGCTGCAATTTAGAAAACAGCAACACAGACTTCTTCCTCTTCTAGCTCTTATGACTCTTGCTTAGCATGCTTAATTCAATCATCGAGCTTTAAAAAAAATACATTTGCACTGGAAATCAGACCCAACGAAGACATGAGAAAGCACACAGGCATACAAATAAGATATGTGCTGCTCACCCCACTGCCTGATCATCATGTACCACCCAGTTGCATATAGGGTTAGCATGCCAAGATACTTATTGACCAACTCTACAGTGTTAGAGCTAGCTATCATGTTCAGTTGGCATATTTTGTAAAAGTTTGTGCTATAGATGGGCAACTCAACATGTTAGTTGGCCTTAACATCCAAAACCAAAAATATGTGTTCTCTTATATGTTGCGGTGTTTTGGAGCAAATATTGTTTCCCTCAATGTATTTCTGTTGGGCTAAAGCAACATCCAACTGTATATTTGATGAAACACATATATAAGATGTACTGGATGTGCAGAAAATTATGGCAACAAATAGTTAAGAGATTCATACTGTTGTGAATTTCAGGTAGTATCAGTCACACTATACAATGGCACTTTTTAAATTAATTAAATGGTACCTCAAGAATGTATGCTATCAGTCAAATATCCAAGCCATGTCTGTGTAAGACTGGCATATCAGTTTATCAGATTATCGCTATATGAAAGACCATATCTCCTATATGAACTTGCCAGAGCATTAAGATATTCCTGGTCAGCTTTTCTTTCTGCCCCACCACAATTACAGGGTTGATGGGTGAGGATATCAGAGAGAGCCTTCTTGGTGGTGGCTCCCATCTACTGGAAGGGTCTTCCACATGAAGCCAGACTGGTTCACTCCCTGCTATTCTTTCATTGGCAGAGGCATTTTAAAGCAGTCTTTTAACATGTAAGCAGGGGAGCTTTTGAATGGGGATATTTTATTCATCTTTTAAAACTGATATTTATTTTTAAATGATTTTATATTGTTTTATATGTGCTAAAATTATTTCATTTTTATTGTTAATATGTTTTAATAGGATTTTTAAAGAACTTTCCTTGGATTGCATACAGGGTGATATATAGCAACAAACTATTGAACTTTAAAGACTGAGAGAACAAAGATGGTAGTGCAAGCTTTCATAATCTGAGTCTATATTCTCAAATGTATAGAGTGAAATGCCAGTTTGTGTTCGTGGATTGTGTATCTTCTAGGAAGATTTCTCATGCTTTCATCTACACTCAGTTATTGTTTCAAAAGTGCATCTCTCTGCAAAGTATTGTCATCTACTCACCACAGACAGAGCCTCTCACGAATCTCCTCAAATGTGGTCTCTCGGGGAGGTAGCGGTATTTGCATCCAAATATACTGAGGTTTGACGTATGATCTCCAAAGAAACGGAGCTGGCGGTATCTTTCCCCACAGCGATAACAGAAATTAGTGTTACACTGAGAGCAAGTCATGTGGTCACATCCCTCTGTCCTCTGGATATGAATCTTTAGGAGCAAAATAGAAAGTAGGGGCAGGCAGAGAGAGAGAGAGAGAGAGAGAGAGGAATGATATATTTATTTAATAATAATTTTCTATCCAATATTTAGTCCATTCATTGATCTTATGAAGATTCATCCAAGAGAGAGAGAGAGAGAGAGAGAGAGACTGCCTCACTGGTAAATGACCTTTAGAAGATGCTCTTCAAATTACCAAATGGTCTGACTCATTTCAGCACTGACTATTTAAGAAGTCTGTCATCTGCTTTATAATACAGAAATAAGCACAACAATTTCAAGAAAAATAGAAAAATTGTTTTCAAAACTGTTCAGATCTATATTCAGAAATTAAACAGAATCAATAGCATTCCTGAGTGGATCACTTATTTCCTAGCCAAGCTCTGCTCAGATGGAATAGTTGCAGTTTTTAAATGAATGACACAGGTGACAGATAAAAGGCAAGTTTTCCATGCAGCATCCAGGTTCAATGCTGAATGTATTCATTTATAAAGAATAACAGGCAGCAGATAACAGTGAAAAATCTTTTAAAAACCCTTTCCTACTAGCAGGTAACCATAAAAAGCCTAACTTTCAAAACCAACAATCAGTGCTTTTCCTCTTGATTTTTCTTTTTTTTTTTTTTGTGAAATTGAAAAACTGTTCTCAATACTTTACAAATATTTCTAAGGACTTCTTTCTAATCATAATCACAATTTATCCATTTCAGCTATATTAAAAATGTTCAGTATCCACTCTTCCATGTAAGCTGTCCCAGCTTTTTTCCACCAATTCTGTGCATAGAACAGATTCACCTCCAGAATCATATAAGGTCGCACTTTCATCTGGTACCCAATGAGGAGAGGAGGAGGACAACAACTATGGCTTTACTTGGTTCTTGGTTACTGTTATTGTTTTTGTTATTGTTGTTATTTGCATTGTCTTCTGACTCCTCACTTGCCAAAATGAACAAAGAAACCAAGGACACCTATTGCAAATGTGGAAATCAGAAAAGAAATTTCTTGCATACGCAGTTCCCATACACTCAAGCAAATGGTTTTAGGGCCAAATACAGAACACCCTCTTTTGACATGCTGCTGTCACCAGATAGAGTTGGGAAAAATAATTACAGGTGAACCATTTGCCTAAATTAATAGATAAAAGCTTTTTGTGTACTAATTTGTTTGTTAATTTATTTATTCATTCATTTTCTGTCTCCCAAATTGTACATAGTGCCACAGGTGAATTTTACACAACCAAGGTTTCAACAGAAAAAGAGACTATAAAAAATGGGGATAAGGAGAGATGAGGAAGATGATGTGAAAATGAAGCCAGAAATGTCCCAGCTTCATTTCTGTAGAGGTTCATTATTGTGAATTAAGAGACTTGGAGAAATTCAATACTTCTAGGATTTTGCACCGAGATTGCTGAAATATAGAGTACATTTTATAAATCAATCGTTTATACTCACATAAGACCAACAATCCTATTTGTGTCCATTCCAAAGGGAGTATCATTCGATGCAATAAGACTGCAGGCTAAAGTAAACAGTAATCTATAGCATGCAGCAGCTCTGATCTTCTTCATGCTCATAAAAGTACTCCAAGAGTTCTGAGCATATGTGCCCTACATATTTCTGTTGATAAATACTTTTAAACTATATATCTGAGCTTCCATTAACAACAGAAGTCTTTGAAACTTCGGTTAAATCTTTCTAATCTCATCTTCAAATGAGCCAGATGCAATTATACAGTAATGCACTCTTCTCCGGTTTTCTTTTGTTCCTGAATATATTTGAGGAATAACGATGAATCATTGAGGAATTTGAGAACATCTCATTGCAAATCTGACATCCTCAGTTCTCACGTGATTTATGACATGCTTTATCTCCATCAGTGAGAACATCTTCTTTCCCAAATATTTGTGTCACTTAGGTGCTAGCAGTGGTGCCACAATGGTCAACAGATGGAATGATAAAAATTCAGCTAATTTACTAGGATCCTGATTTCTAATATTCCAGAGTTGGGTCTTCCACACAGCCCGATATCCCAGAATATCAAGGCAGAAAATCCCACATTATCTGAATGTGGACTCAGCTAACCCAGTTCAAAGCAGATATTGTGGGATTTTCTGCCTTGATATTCTGGAATATAGGGCTGTGTGGAAGGGCCCTCTTATTATTCTGAAAATCTCACTTTTAGATCTAGTGATTATGCAGCAATATATATTGAATTTTTAAAACATTAGATTTTGTTTTTACTCTTTAAAAGCAAAGCCAAACACTACACTTCATAAGATACAGATAAAACATGCTGTGATTCATTATGATACACATTATGGCAAAGGAAACACAATATTTAAATATTGAAAATAGTAAAAGCCAATGCTTGAACTCTTAAATCATTTGCAGGATCTACATAAGCAATACACAGAGCTGCCTTATGTAGAACCATACCATCAGTCCTTCTAGTCCAATCTTCTCAACTGTGACTGGTAAATCCTCTCTAGGGTTTCAGGTAGAATAGTTCACAAGCCCTACTTTATTTTGTGGGACAAGAGCAACTCATTATTGCAGTTGTGGGATTTCTCTCTGGCTTTTGGTTTATACAGCTGAATGTACTTTCTCAATATGGGGTTGTTTCAAAACAACAAAATATGATGAATTCCATGTAAAATGTTGACAGAACCTGATTCAGTTTCAGCACATACAAATAAAATCCTGAAAATAGTCCCTTTTAAATTTCATGCAGTATATTTTTCCTTAATAAAATTGTTGCATTTTATTAAATTAATTTTGTTAATTTAATTTCACCATTAGAGAAGAATATTTGTAAGAGTCCTGTCAATATGACCAGAATTCACTACTAACAAAAAAAATTGACTGGTGCCAAGAAGGGTCTGTTTACCTCCCTATAACACATTGGTAAGAAATCAGGGGAAAACAGTCATTACCCAAACCTAATTTGTGTGGTTCTTCTATCCTTAGAATTAGAGCAACAATAGTGTGTAATGAAGGAACGCGGAACGCTGTGTTTGTTATTCTGGTCCCACCTTCATTCAGAACTCATTGCCTCAGAGCAAAGGCTCAAGATAGTTATCTGTGCTTTAGGTCAAAACAGTTTTGAACTGTTTACATAAATTTCTATTCACCCAAAACACCCAAGATGTGGACTGTTTGTTTCTTTTACTTAACTTGGTGCAAAGGAAAAGGATTTTACATAGAAGGTAAAATGTGACCTAAGTTAAGCCAATCAACATCTTCCAGAAATGAAAGCAGAGGTAAAAAATAAAATAAAATAAAGGGCCAGTTTCTAGACTGAACTCAGTACATTCAGACCTATCAGCGGCATCTCTCTCACTGTTGTCAACACAATGTGGAGATACAGCTTTTGTAGATATCCAAGGAAGAGTCAACATTAATCTCCTTCTCCTCAAAATGATTCTTCTCTGGAACCATAATCCCAGAACCATAATTCCAGAGAAACATGCAATAACACCAGGCAGGAATATATTCAAATTGGAAATCTTCTGATAAATTTTCCTGTAAAATTTTTCTACTTTTTAATAAAATATTGTACTTGTAAACTTTTAAAGTTGTTTTAGCATAAAAAAATAATTCTTATAATCATAAACAAGATTTAAACCAGACCTCAAATATCTGTTCACCAGTTTCTATTACTGTAATTTATTCAAGCTTAATATCCTTAGAGAGAAAGAGTGCAAATATACAAGTGTTTGGCTGCTTTACAGTTGAAATAAAACCACATATACCACCCAAGCCAATATGAAGTTATGAATTCACTTTTTCTCTGTGTAGGCCAAACCACAACTAGACCTAAGAAGGTTATTTGTTTCTTTCACTTTCAACAAACAGAGAGAGCACTGTTGATTATCTTGAAGTTTTTCACAATAAACTCATGAGTTTCACAATTAAATCACATTGGCTCTATTGGTAAGATTTTGTGGTTTTAGTTGCAATCTGACTTGTTAACAGCATTAGTTCAAATAGGCATTATAAAGTTTTGTTCATGAAGTCAGTAGAGTTCCTGAGCAGAGCAGGTTACAAATAAAGTATTATTATTATTGTGCCTGGGTCTGCATTAAAAAACTGTGTTCAGCTTATTCAAATGCCTGTAATGCAGCAATTTTTTTTCAGCCGCAACAGAACAGTGGCTGCCGAAAAACGACTGCTTTTGGTTTCTTTTGGCTACACATGGAGTGCAGGGAGGGAGGCAGCTGTTAGAACAGAAAGTATCCCAGAAAGGGTGTTTTCTTAAGCCCTTGTTTTAAATCCAGGTCTCCTTTAAAGACAGAACGTAAAGGATCCCAGGAAGGAGGGGGGGGGGCCGTTCTTAAGCTCTTGCTTGAAAGGTCTCCTTGAAAGACAGAAGAGAAAAGATTGAAGAAAGAGTGGTATCTTAATACTGGTGCTTTTAATCCAGTTCTCAATGAAGGATGTAAGGACAAATGATGCCTAAAATGTCAGGAAGGGAAGCCTGGGAAGTCTCCCCCATTGCTGCCAATGGGCCAGATCAAAAACAAATCTTTTGGCTTCCCAGATAGAAAACGGATTTCTGTCCTCCCATATTCAGGAGGCTCCCAAAGAACAGATTAGGGCCCATACCGAAATCCAACACACCTAAATGGATCACGGTTTACCTAAATTTCCTAACCCTAGAAGTCAGTCAAATATGCTAATTCAGATCCTAATATATTTAGAGGAAGCAGACAATTTTCTAATTCAAATTTTTCTAAAAATCCGTGTTACTGGAAAGAATTCACATATTACATTTAGCTCTTTCAGTGTAGTTTCATTTATAAGCAAAGAGTTTGAACACCACAGAATCAGTCTGGAGAACCTAGAAAATGCCCAGAGATGTGTTCTCTCTAGATCTCCAGAAATTCTGCCAAAAGATGACCACAGAACTGCTCTGGAGGCCTAGAGAGAACATTTTTCTAGGCATCATCTAGGTCCTTCAGAGTAGTCTAAGGTATGCTTTGGTCAGAAGCCTACCAACAGGAGTTATAATCCCTTTTGTGAATGGCAACTTCTTGCAGATTTGCATATTTACAGTAAAAACAAAGATTGCACATGATGCTAATGCTGCAATTTCAAAATATTAGCTTCATATCAGAACAAAACATTCTAAAGTAGATTATACTTCCTTTTGCACAGTGAGAATGCAGTTTTGTAAAAACAAGCAGAACCAGTTGGTATAAATATTTACCATTTCTCAAGAATGTAGTCTATTATAGCTGAGTCATTGAACACAACTTTTTTGATCATTTTACCTACTGCACACGAAGTAATATTTCATTTATTGAATTGACATTGATTTATTGCATTTCCAGTGTTTTTAAATAGAGGAGCTTTGAAATAACAGATACAGCATTCCTTAGTGATAATACTTTCTGTCAAAAGCCATTTAAACTCCATAAAGTGTGGAACAGACCTAAAGTCACCAAATTCTGTCTGATCTTGGTTGCTATGCAGAATCAGTCCTGAGCAATCCTTGCCTAAGAAAATCCTACCAAATTCATGGAGGCACCATGAAGGTACACACACAGTTGTTGAACAATCAACTGCTATCTATTTAAGAAACTATCATCCACATCTGTCCATCCCCCCCCCCATCCTTTAAGAAAAGTCTGTAATAGACTCCTCAGTTTCAATAATTTTTACAAAGCAGCTCAAGCTTTTTTAAAAATCGTGTCAGAAGCGAATTGTTGCACCTTAGCAGGAGTTCACCTTGCTCAATCAAACACTCACCAGGAAGCCAACCGTAGTAACAAGCAGTTTATTGATAGAACACACAATAAAAGAGTAAAAATCCAAATACGAGAAGAAAGTAAAAGTCCCAAAAAGCCAGAGATAAACCTCAAATGCAAAGGTTAGAGCAGGAATGTGAATCCAATATAGATGTAACTAAACATGAGCTTGATTAATCCAAGAAACAAGAAACAAAACAGGAGCTTGATTAATTCAAGAAACAAGGAACAAAACATGAGCTTGAGTTCATGAGTAAAACCCCCAAAACAGATAGCAAACTTGACTAGAAAACTTGGCTTGAATCAATAACAGGACCAGGAACAAGGCAGGAGGTTCTCACTCCATTCGTGACGTGCTTGATCGGAAACCTAAGAGCTTCCTTTTCCCAATTAAGGACAGCAATGTCTGAAGGCATGCCATTAGCCTCGAGAAGCCTGTCTGTGGCTCTCTTTCCAAGGCCTTGGTTTGCACCTGGAAGTCTTCCCCACAGGAGCAGCCTTGATTCTCTGTCCAACTCCCCTTCATTGGGTGAACTCATGCCCTCCTCCCTTCTCTGCCTGTCAGTTTCTGAAACAGTTTCATTTTCACACAGAGAATCAACATCTAATTTCAAATTCCCTCCATTCTCCCAACCAAAGAATCACCATCATGTTCCAACATCCCCTCTGTCTGAGAACCTCCAGAAGCATCAGGCCCTGCAGGCCCTGCATTCCCAAACCCATCATCATCACCATCATCATCATCATCATCAGCTGGCTGAACTACAACACAAATTGAAAATATACTGCAAGTCAATTCTGTTATGAGAGAATTGGTCGTCTGCAAGGACGTTGCCCAGGGAACCCCTGGATATGTTACCATCCTGTGAGAGGCTTCTCTCGTGTCCTCACATAGAAAACTAGAGCTGACAGACAGGAGCTCACCCTGTCTCGCGGATTCGAACTACTGACTTTCAGGTCTTCAGGTCAGCAGTTCAGCACCAACACGGCTCCAGCTCAAGCTAAACATGCACATTGTAACTCTTAAAAACTGTTCTTTTACTTATGCATGGCACATAGAAATTAAACTGTAATATGGTTGAACTGTCAGTTGAAAACTAATGTAGTAAAAATAAATCAAGGTGTAGTCAAACCAACAAGCTCTAATAAGGTCTATTTCAGTACTGCAGTTCATTATTGGCATACTCATTGGCAATAAAAGTTCCTCAAGTGTTGAGTTTTCTCTGATTTTCTGTTAAGATTTCTTGGGTGATGAAAAATTTGAAAATGTCAAACAAACTTTTTTTTTTACTGCAAACAGTTGTTTACCAGGCAGAAGAAACCATGAAATCATCCAACCCAAGGAGACACCTGAGGCATGAAAGAAATTCTTGGGAAGCAGGTCCTTCAAGATCTCTGCCCTATCACTGCAGGCTAGCTCTTTTCAGAAATATAATATTTCCATTTCAGCTGTTATGTCACATCATCTGTTATAGTGCCCTGATTATCCTATTCAACCTCCCTGAACAGGAGTCACACAGTACAAAGGAAGAGCTAATGCTACAGCATTAGCATGTCACAGAAGCTGGCATTTGTCTCAGAGATTCAAACAGCTGCCATTCCTTTCTGTGCATGTTTCACATTGTTCATATGGCTTCAGCTATCACTGAATGGACCTGGAAAGGACCAAATGTTGTTCTTTCAACTATGCCAGGGCTCTCTTTCTGCAGTTCTTATCAATTTCAGCAAGATTTCTACAAGAGTCTCTTGTCTCCAGGGTGAAACAAAAATTGGTCCATCTATTTTATTCAACACCAAGCATGTCTGAATATATTTCCATGCCCGTTCTTAAATAACATAGGGCTTCTTTCCACTTCCAACTGGAAAGAATATATAATATAATTGGTAAATGGTCAAAATACATGTTTACTGAGGGTTGAGAAAATTGTGAAGAAATGTAACCAGGACGGAAAACCTTCAAAGTCTGGGAACATATTCTGTGCAAAAGTTGCACATGTTTGCATAGAAAGCAGCAGACTAGGATTGGGGTTTGATGGCTGTGCAAAAGTCACACATCGGTTGTTTACATAGAGAACGACATTTTTTTTTATAAGTAACTGCCTTACGTTTCTAGATTATTATGTCCTTGAGAGTCAGAATGGTATAGTGATTGGAATGATGTACTAGAAGGCTATGAAATTAAAGTTTGAATTCCTACTCAGTCATGGAAACCCACTGGATGATGTTGGACATGACACACACAAAGGAAAGCAATGACAAACACTATCTGAATAAATCCTGCCAAGGAAATCGCATGAAAGGTTCACCTTAGGGCTGCTACAGTGATGTCCTTGAACTTATATAATGCAACACGATTACAAGTGCCCCCTCCCACATATTTAAGTATCCTACAGATTTAAGTATGTAGACTTGTGCATGTATATATTAGCTACGTTAAAAAGCATTGATACAGTCAGCCGCCTGTGTCCACAGATTTTTCATCCATGGATTTCACCACCCACAACTTGAAAATATTTTAAGAATCCAAAAAAGGAAACTATGGTTCTGTCATTTTATATAAGGGACACAATTTTACTACACCATTGTATAGAATGGGATTTGAGCACCCATGGATCCATAGTATTCAAACCAAAGGGCCCATTGTGCCTGGAATCCTGCTACTTGTGGAATTGACACAATATATCTCTATCAATGAAGTACATTTGTTTTGTTTTTTTATCTTTTTAAACAGAAAATTTGGTACCAGAGGTTCAGTTGCTACACTGCAAAAAGGAAGAGCCAGTCCACATGTCTCAGCAAATGTATGCAAAACTAACAATATGATCAAAACAAGCCATGTTGTTCTCTATTTTGCTGTCTTTTTTGTTTTACTGTTCAGACATGATAAGTAAGGGATTCTGGAGGCAATGATCTCTTATCCTGCCTGTAGTAGGTAGGCACACATAGCTATAGTTGGATTAACAAGAGCAGAATATCACCCTTTCCTAACTCAAGCTTTGCTACAATGCATACTGAAGATACATTACAGCAATCCGGCACCAAAGGTCTGTACTTCTTCAGCCCTCCTTCACAATTCCCCCAGTGACAATACTACCAAAGTCCTTGCCGGTGGTGTAGGACAAGGCAGAAAAGGGAGTGGGTGAGCATTTAAAGGAGTTGGTAGAAAGAAGGTTTTTATTGTTTTTATCAAACAATAGGTGTTTTAAAAATTAAACACCTATTGTTTAATTTTTTTAAAAAGAGAACACTGTATTTTACGCCAGACATGTGAGTATTTTGCTGGGCAGCAGTAATGTTAAGCGCTTCAAAATTCAGGACTTCAGCTAAGCAAACATAAAGGGGGTGACAGATAAGCACTTTTTAAAAGAGCAGCTATGTCAGCAGACAACAGAGACTAAATTCTCCTCCACTTAACAGGCTTGAGAGCAAATCCTAGGTCAGCAGAATTTTTTCTTAATTTCAGTGGAAAATGTCACAAAACATTCAAACACTAGAGACAGAGTTTAACATGCACTGTCTTACCTTGCATTTTGGACACTTTTGAGCATTTCTTTGTCCGTGTTCAATTTCACCAGCCCAGTGACGTAACAGCTTGTCTCCCTTTTTGTATTCTTTGCAGTTAATACCTTCATGCCAGGGAGAGTGGCACTTAAAACACCATGTGAATTGACAGGTTGGACACTGGATCTGTAGCAATAGGACCACAAAACAATAAAAACACAGTTTGGAAGGTAGAATGCCATGGCTGATCCCACAATACCTGCTGTGATAATAATTTGAAGCTTCATAGAGCCCTTCCACACAGTCATATAACTCAGAATATCAAGGCAGGTAATCCACAATATCTGCTTTGAACTGCATTATTTGAGTCCACATTACCATATAATTCAGTTCAATGTGGATTTTATACAGCTGTTTGAAAGGGTCCTTAGTCACAATTGCATTGGATCTAGGGAGAAATGCAATGTGGGATAATCTGAAGGGCTAAAGCTCTCTGCATTGGATGACAGTTCAGTTGGCCAAAAATGTTTGCAACCAATGTGGTCACTGCATGTTAATTTTCTGAATTGGATGGTTTATCCACATAACCACAACTACGGTTCTCCTTACAAGGCAATTATGAGTCATTTAGTCCAATGTCATTGAACCATCAAAGTAAACAATGCCACGTGAAAGATTCCAAGCATGGAGTTAGTGAAGACACAAAATTCAACTCTTCTTCAATCACTCTCGATGTTATATTACCTTCTTGAAATAGGATGTACTATCAAACATCCAGTGTTCATAACAACAACAGCAACAACAACAACAACATTTTTAATATCTTGCCCTATCTCCCCAAGGGGACAACATATTAAGCCTCTATAATTGAATACCTCACCCCCTTTGTGTGTGTTTGTGTTTGTGGGAGGATATCAAGAGGAAGGAAACATTTCTTTCTTCTTTCCCCATCCCCAATGTGCCACAAAGTACAAGAAGGTTCAAGATAAAAACTTAATATGAGCATTTATGGGTCTGCTAAATGGGAGTTTCAGGTAGGTGGAAAAAATAGAGGGGCCTTTCCCCCCACCCCTTCCTGTCTCCGCAAATAAATAAAAAAGCAAACCTCATGACCCATATGCCCCAGATCCTAATGTGTCCCATTGTGTTCTCTGGATATTTTGGGCTATACCTTTCATATTATCTGCCATGCTGATTTGAGTTGATGGAAATTATAATCCAAGACGTATGAAGGGTACCATGGAAGTTGCATCCTCATTGTAATTTGGGGGAAGAGTACTTTTATCTTCTGTGTATCGAAGATGTTAAGTATGTAAAAGCTATTTATTTTATTTTAATTTTTTTTGTTCTCTTCAAAACTGATAACTAACTAAGTGTAAAATAAAACTTATTTGGCTGTCAGTAAAGAACACTGTAAGTTGCTATAATATAGAAAAACTTACAAATGTATTCTTACAATCACATAAAACAAGGTTAAATGTATTTTACATAAATAGCAAAAGTTGCGTAAATTTTTAAGCAGTGTCATTGGCTCCTACCATGGAACACATGCCAGTAATGGTTAAAATACATTAGATAATTTAAATACAATTGGCCATCCATATCCACAGATTGTGTATCCACACACTGTTTGAAAATACTGCCTCCCCCGCAAAAAAATTCCCCCAAAAGCAAAACTTGACTTTGATATTTTATATACAGGACACAATTCTACTACACCATTGTATATGATGGGCCTTGAGCACCCACTCAAGGGTTTTGTTATCCACAAGGAACAAAAAATCCCACAGATACTAAGGACCAACTATATTCATGGGATTACTTGCATGTGGAAGGTGCTTTACTAACTTCAGGCCAAGACAAACGTTGAAGGAATTTTCACACTTTAAATATACTGGACAGATTCGATTTCTGAACATCTTCCTCTACAATATCTACAATAGCTTATCTATTTATTTATTTATTTGTCAGATCTATCCAATAGATTGTGTTCTCTGGATATTTTGGATGATACCTTCCATATTATCTGCCATGCTGATTTGAACTGATGGGAGTTATAATTCAAGACATATGAAGGGTACCATGGAAGGTTGCATCCTCATCATGATTTTGGGGGAGGAGTACCTTTGTACCTGTGTATCTAAGGGGTCCCTTAAATATGTAAAAGCTCTTGATGTTCTTTTTGCATTTCTCTTCAAAACTGATAATGAAAGATATTATAATTCACCAGCATAAATAAAAAATGCAAATGAATTCATCAACAAATCCCATATATTGGTTCTAATAGCCCTAACAGCCCCCCTCTTTAGAAGAATTTCAAGCCAGTGGAGAGCACTTTCCCTCCCTTCCCTCAACATTGCTTTCCCCATTGTGGGAGAAATAGGGGAGATCTTCAAAAATGATCATTTATGCTGATAAGATCCATGGTGTGATTTAAAGAAAGAAAAGATTTGCATTTCCATCATTCAGTATCTGCCAAGTATCTTTAGCGTTCTGCCTGTCCTTTTGCATTTACGTTTCCTCTAATTAAAGGGAGTCTTGCAGAGTTAATAATGGTGCCTCTCTGCTGGATACTCCAGCAGTCAGCCTTGGTGTTCTATTTCTAAAGCATGCAAACACAGTAGGCCTTCGCTCCATCTATCATTTCCTTTCCTGCTATCACACCTACTGACACACCATGGTAATCCCACATATGTTTCAGAAGAATCCAGAAGAATAAAGCTTCCTGCAATATGTTGCTCTGGTGATTGAAAACAGACACAATCAGACAGGCTGATCCCGCTTTGCTCACACTGACATACTACCCCTAATAACTTGTGGATGGTATTTTGATATATAAACCTAACCTTTCGTCTGCTATTATCATGGATCTGATTAGAGGCAGCAACTTCTATGCCTTATTGGAAGGAATTCTTGGGGAGGTTCCAGCAGAATTTCAGCAAAAACACCCCATTACGGCCCTGAACAAAGACTAATAATTCTTATATCTTCATGAAAATATTAGGAGCAAAACAACTTGGCATACATTAACCTGAAAAAAGGAGATAGCAGGGAATAAAATCATTTTAAACTCCTTGCATTGGCTCAAATTGAGGTCAAGCTCATTAATGCCTCAGTGCCAAATACTGATTCACATTATTTAAATTAAGAGACAAATCTGTACTACGCACCCAATTATTACAGTCAGACATCTGATGTTTATAACAGTGTAATGCAAATGATGTTACTTGCAACCACGATAGGCAGATTAACTACAGTCCTTTAGCTCACGATGCTCTCATGTGGTAGGAATAAAAATAGCCAATGATCCAAATAGTATGATAAACAAATTAAAATAATCCCTTCTGCTTTTCAAAAGGAGAATCAGATGATGTCTTCTTGTGTGCAAGACAAGAACCACATGACGGCTTGAGTGCCGGTTGTGCTTCAAACATGGGTCTGAGTGCAGATGTCTTTTGTTCACATATAATATTTCAACAGAAGATCTCAATAGTTTTGATGACCAAAAACACTGGATTAGAATCAAGTCATTGCCACAAAACATTTTGTTATATGATTAGTTTCAATTATCAAGGTTGCTTTTTTAAAAGGTTTGCAACTTTCCTTGCTTAATTGGAGTTCTTAATCATCTTGAACTCCTACTTGTCCTGAAATAATGACTAAAAAAGCAGCTGACCTTTGAAATAGTAGGGATCATATGTAAAAAAAAAGAAAAAAAGTGTAATTTAGCAAGATGCACTTTGTAAGCAGAGGCTTTCAACGGTAAGCAAACAGTATCCCCCCCCCCCCAACCAATCACCGATGTATATTTTCTGTTCATCGTGGGAGTTCTGTGTGCCATATTTGGTTCAATTCCATCATTGGTGGAGTTCAGAATGCTCTTTGATTGTAGGTGAACTATACATCCCAGTAACTACAACTTGCATATGTCAAGGTCTATTTTCCCCCAAGAGCGCCTCAAGAGTGCCCCTGGGCAAAATCAACTATACTGCAAATGCTTCCTTTGCGTAATGGGTTGAACCACCCCTGTTTGTAAGTTTCAACAGAAAAACGGGTTTTACAACAAAGTTGTCCCATTCCTTGAAAAAACAACAAAACAGAATATATGATTGCAGAATATATGACGCCAAAATACTGATCATATTTTCAGATATACACCATATGACTGGACTAGGCCTGATCTTTCTACAACATTACTTGTTTGACTAGTTTTGAAAGGAGCAAGCACTTGCAATGAATATGCATGAGGAATAAATTTTTAAAAAACAAAACACTGAAGCAGGAATGGGGAACATAAATAGAAGGAAGCTGTGTGTTCAGAGTGTACTGCAAGCTGTAAGTTACTACCTTCTCCCTTCTTGAGTTAAGCATCACCAAAGATGAAAGTAACTGTTGATATTAGCCACTAAGCATCTCCCCGTCGTCTTCATTACATGGAAACATAGTTCAAAGAGTAATGACCAATATTCTGTTCTAATGTCTGCTGTATGTAAAACTGATTGCCCTCTGAAAGAAAACCTGCTCATGAAAGGCACATAATGAACATCTGTTTAAAAACAAATTTCATATAATTCAGTGTGATAGATTGGTGGTGCTGAATTTTCTCCAGATAGTTCTATATGCAAAAGACATATTTCCCAGTTGTTTCTAACGCCTCTTACACACTGTGGTTGGAGCATGAGGGTGTCTTAACGGAGAAAAGGACTAGGAAAAATTCTCATCACAGTAAGAGCAGTGTTGTGAAATCTGTGATGCTACCGGCTGCAATGCACAGCTGGGTTATTTAAGGCTTCTGAACCATATTTAATAAAAATTATGAGCTGCCCCCTCCAGAGCGGACCAACGGCTGCTCAGATGTACCATGAGACATATGGTTGAATTTTCCCATTGCATGTCTTTCGCAAACAGCTGGCTAGTGCAAGAGGAGACACAAAAAGGGCACAATTCCTAAGAGAACAAAACCGTTTTGAAAAACATAATTTTGATAATATTATACCAGCTTGCAAAGAAAGCATAGATAATGCATGCATTTTAAAAATGTTCTAATTAATTCACAAGGTTATAAATCTATAAAAAGTGGCAACCAGCTATGAAGCTCAGAAATCACAAACTGAATCTTCAAACTCTAGCTTCAAGCTTTTGGGACATTTCTTGAGTTCCTTTCTTATTTCCTGTGTAGCAGCTCTTCTCTTCAACGTCTAGTTTCCTGTTTGAGTACCATGTTCGCCATAGTGCTCAAACAGGCCATATAATACATGTTGCCAATATGCATGCCATGGGCATAGAAATTTGGTAAGTAGGATAAAAGAAAATGCAACAGGAAAAGGAAAGTGTAAAACATAAGCACCAGGACCCCTTGTGAACTTTACAGGTTTTTTTAAATGCTTGCTATATTTTATTTACAAAAAATATATTTACTTAAACTAAATTTTCCATGAATTTTAAAGCAACTTATATAAAAACACAATAAAAAGCCTGTAAAATAAAGCACCACCAATACTAATATTCAAATGAATGAAATACTTTAGAAGGGTAGAAATCAAGAACAAAATGTTGCAATTTCTCCAATGAAAACATTTCAAACATTTGTCTGAAAAATTAAGAGCGCTTACTGGATTCCATAGGACAAAGTTGGGAATTGTACAGCCTTCAAGATGTTAAATTGTCACCCCAGCCAGTACAGCCAATGGAAACCCACTGAGTGATCTTGGGCATGTTACATTCTCTCAACCTCAGACAATGGGAAACTCCTCTGAACTAATATTGCCAAGAAAAACCTGGGATTGGTTGGTTTTACAGTCATCATAAATCATAACCAACTTGAAGGCACACAACAACAACTCGGAAGAGTTTATACCTCTTCTCTATATAATAGTGGCAGTGAGATAGGAATACTGAATGTCTACCAAAATTCTTGTAACAATAATAAATTTTGGTCAGGCAACTGAACAGTTTTGAATAAAGCATACCTTGATATCTGTATTTTCCAGGAAGGGCCTCTTAAGAAAAGCCATAAATCTGATAACAAGCTAACAAAAACCCTAGAGACAAACATACCAACTTCAGAAGTTTAATACATCTCTGAAAATAATGTGCAAAAAAGTCAACCAGAGATATATTCAAAGTAACACTCCCTGAAAAATATGAGATTCCCCTAACATTTAAGGAAAGTAGGAACTGCCAAACTCTGTGAAATATTTCAAAAGATGAACAAGAGGGTTCTGTATAACCAACAAATAAACTAGTATGTTAACTGGCCAGTTGTTTGAATGTACAACTTATCACTGGAACAGTAAGGGGCATGAAACTATAGATTTGTATTCTAATACCACAGCTTACATTAAGATCCAGTAAGAGAAGAAAACCCATTTAATGCCCACCACATCCTGGCCTACTTTTGCTGCTCACAGCTGTGCCATCTAATCCATAGCTCTGGTGAGCATGCTCACTTTGTACTTGTTCTCCATTTTGGTAGGGGTTGGAATGTGGCCTCTTTTCCGGAAGGTTGTAAAGTGCTTGCATTGGGGGCATGGCTTGGTGCTCGAGCCGATACGGCCAAGTTCCAGGAAGTACTTATATTTGATAATGTCATCATGTGGCAGGTTGAAGAGGACCATTGTTTCATCCAGATGTTCACTGCACTCGGTTATTGGGCACGGGATGTCTGCTTGCCCCACCTGCACCTGTATGCAAACACAAGAGTAGAAATCAAAACTTGGGCTGACAGGTAAATGATTTATTTACGGGAAATTACATGCCAAGATTTGGTTGTACAAGATTAATAGATGAAGACATAGTCTCTTTTGGAGTTACTGTACAACCTGACCTGAAAGCAACACAGAAGGAAAGATGGGGAGGAAACAAATTTTTCCCCATGTTTTGAATGAATTTTGTTTCTATTAACTGGTAAGAAAACCTTTCTGTTGATAACATAACTGCTCACTTTTCACAGAATTGTCTTCTACTTCTTGGACAAGCTATTTTTCTACTTCTTGAGCAAGCTATTTAGTCACACTTTTATTCTGAATAAACAAACACATTCAAAAGCAGCCAAATATCTACTCCAGGAGTGAGACTCATATAGCATTCCAGATTTTGTTAGACTGCAAGGCCCAACATTCCCACCATTGGTTAGACAGGCTAAGGTTGCTGGGAAATGCAGTCTAGCAAATATTAGACAGACTTCATAAATTTCACATCTGATTTGAAAGTTTCAAATGATTTCTATCAATGAGCAGCAAGAAGATGTGACTCCACAAGACCATAAAAACCAAGTGCGATGAAAAATGAGAATAATAATAGTTTCAATAGTTAATCCATTTTTTCCCACACTTCCGTCTTCCAGATGTTTTGGACGTCAGCTCCTAGAACTCCTGATTATATTCCAAGTTGGCTAGGACTTCTTGGAACTGAAGTCTAAAATAGCTAGAGTAGCGGTTCTCAAAGTGCGCAGTGTGGAGCCTCTGGGGCTCCATAAAGCATACTGAGGGGCTCTGAGGTTCCCTCCTCCCCCTCCTTTCTCCTCCTTGGTTCTTCCTTTCTTTTTTTGCACTACAAAAAAGATATTTACATAGGAATTTGTCCATTTTTTTAACACAAACATGCCATCCATCTACCACTGGCCCAGCCTGTCTATCAAATTTTAAAACACAATGCGTCACAAAGTTTGCCCATGCCTGATATGTATACATTATATATAATATATAATATAATATATAAACATTTCTTGGGGCTCCATGAGAAACTTTTGGTTCAAAAGGGCTCCAAAAAGGGCTCCAAAAAGCTTGAGAACCCCTGAGCAAGAGGATCCATGTTTAGTAATCACTAATCTAAACATATGATTTCAGGACCAGAAATTATTTTTAAGGGTTTTCAGCACGACACAAGTTAAAGTTGAAGCTAGAGAAGTATAGTCTACAATTTCTGAACAATTCACAGGGATTCTGTGTTATGGTCAGATAATCAACTTGCTAAAACATATTTGGGAGAGCTGGAGTCCAGTTGTAATATAAAGTCTCCTCTAAAAGTTGCTTTTAAAACAACTTTTAGAAGGGCAACACAACTGGAAAGGTACAGGGTTGTCATAAAAGAAATGGGATAATTTCAGTTGACTGAAACATGCACTGATTAATATTTACTCTGTATATGTTTGTATCACATGTTTCTTACAAAACATAGAGAGCAGTTAACAATTAAGCTCATCCTCAAAACAGCACAAAGAGATTAGCAGGAAGAACACACCTAGTACCATGCCTAAAGGGATAGGAAATAGCACCTGAGCCTATTACTAACAAAGCACTCAGCTAGACACCAGAGTTAGACAGGAATTTAGGACAGACACAGTTCCCTTAAATCAGATTTAAAACATAAAGTTTAAAGAATGCCCAGTTTAATGCTATATGGCAAAGTAAAATGCATTTTAAAATATCTTTTCTGCAATTACTATTTAATAACAAGTTATTAAAGTTGTAAGCAATCAATTAACGAATAAAAATGAAACTTTGCCCAATAGCCAAATTTCAATACCAAGTATAAAGTAGAAAGAGATATTGCTCAAAACATCTCTATTTAATTAGTACGGTTTTAATAAAGATACAAGAGGACAGCATAACCTTCAAAGGTATATGGCACACAGCTATGAGTGACCCCCATACATAAACCTTGCTCATGGTACACAATTGTTTTATTATGTGTTGGCATGGCAGAATGCCAGGAAGGAAGGAAGACAAAGAAACAGAAAGACAGAATAGATCCTGCCTCCAAAGACCTTAAAAATAACTTCATTAGTCACAGAAAATAAGGTGAAAAGGTAGAACACTAATGTTGCTCTTAAGGATATGTCATTCTGGTTTAGGGGGGCTTAGGGTAAAAATTTTGTAGGAAAGTACAAGCCCCTGTGCTACATTTCCACTGAAGCCCACCCACTATTAGCATACCACTGTGCATGGGAGGTCCTTACTACCACTTAAATGTGCATTTTACGAGATAGCATCTAGAAAGGAATGCATCATGTTGCATGCCAGTGCAACAGCAAACCTAAATTAAGCCACACAACCTGTAAGGGAAAAGGGCTTGGTTTGGTTTTCTAAAGGCATCTTTTTTGATTGGCCATTGATTATGTAAGGGCATGAGAACAGGATCTTGTCCCAAAGATCTATGGGCTAAAATTTGACAAAGCAAAAACTGTTAAGGAAAGGGAGAAAATAAGAGGGATGATTAAGCAGGGAAGCAATTTGTGCTTGCTTTGGTTATACATTCATAGGTTTCATTAGCCATAAGAGCTCTGGGGTTGCACTTTCATGGGGATTTAAAAGGAGTAAGCAACAAAATACCCTAAAGGCACAAGACCCTGTCTCAAAATCTAAGCAGGATCAACCCTGGTTAGTACCTGAATGGGAGACCTCCAATAGATACCAGGTTCAATAGGCTATATTTCAGATGAAGAAACTGGCAAAGCCAGCTCTGAGTATTATTTGCTTAAGAAAACCCTGTATATTCATTGGGTCACCATTGGTTGACAAAAGGGACTTGAAGCCGCATACATACACAAGTGACATGGGTTTTTTTAAACGAGTCGGGAGCGACTTGAGAAACTGCAAGTTGCTTCTGGTGTAAGAGAATTAGCCATATGCAGAGACATTGCCCAGGGGACGCCTGCGGGAGGCTTCTCTCATGCCACCAAATGGGAAACTGGAGCTAACAGATTGGAGCTCACCCCATCTTGCGGATTCAAACCACCGACCTTCAGTTTAGCAGTTCAGCCCAGCACAAGGGTTTAACCCATTTCACCACTGTGGGTCCTGGTATCACATAGGTTAACTGGAAAGTATTTTCATGGATATGGATTATGAGAATAGAGTGTTTTGAGTGAGTAGGTGAAGCGAGCAGGCTGCAACTATAGTAGTGAAGATCACAGGCAAAGAGGTATTACAACAGAAATGCTATGCAAGACCATGATGATTTTTGGAGACAAGGACCTTTTGTTTGATCGATGAACAGACAGTACATGCAGGGAATTTAAAGAAGTAGAAATTTAAAGAAATGAGGAAGGTAAATGATAATCTGTTACTAAATTGACTTCAATACTGTGAAATCTACTGCTTGAATAAACAGCAAAGCAGGTACTGGAGCACATTGACATACTCAGGTGGTCAGTACTTAAGGTCGGAAAACATGATCAATCAACATGTTGATCAGTAAATCAAATAGTGGAAGGAGTGCATAATCCAGATGTTTCCTCCACTTGGATCTCTTAGTGTCCTGTCTCTAAGAGGTCAAAAGATCAAGGTATCCCTTTATTTTTGTTGTTTAAAGCCTTTTAAGTACAGCTGATAGAACACTTTTTTAAAAAACTTCAGAAATGTTTAAATCATTCATCTTTCATCTTCAAGTACTTTATTTCTATGGAAAGTGTGGAGATTCATCTTTTTAAATAACAGGTAAGCAGAAGTTATCCCCACCTCTTGGTTAACACTGAAGAAGGAAAAAAAGCCTTACTTTGTAGTCTAGAATAAGCACCTTGCTGGTTCTCATAAAGTCTCAGGGATTGGGTTTATCAATACCCGACATAGGCAGGCTTGGGCCCTCCTTCGAAGTGCTTTGGACTTCCAACTCCCACAATAGGCTGTTAAGGTAGGCTGTTATGAATTGTGGGAGTTGAAGCCCAGGACACCCAGAGAGAGGATCAAAGTTTGCCCATGACTGAATTCTCCCAATTTAAGCTGTTTGCCCCCCTTTACTCTGCTATAGAGTCCTTGGAGTTGTAGACTGACAAGGCCTTTGGACTTCTCTGCCCAAAGAGTGGTGCCCCACCACACTACAACTCCCACCATCCCATTGTTGAAGCTCTACTGATGGAGCTACAATTAAATGGGTTTTAATTTTTTTAGTGTTTAACAGGATTTTGGTATTTTATGATGTTTTAGTTGTTATTTTGTTAGTTAAATTACTTTGTGTTATATTGTAGAATGTGTTTATTTTGATGTAATTGTCTGTATGGTTTTCTTTCCAGCAATGGAATGTTTGCCTTATATGTTGGAAACTGCCCTGAGTCCCTTTGGAGAGATAGGGCGGTATACAAATAAAGCTTTGTTGTTGTTGTTTTTGTTATTATTATTATTATTGCTCTTGGGAATTGCCAGGAGGAGCAGGAAATGAAGTTCTATACCTTGGCCTGTAATTTGCAACTCCCTCCCCCAGATAACAATTTAATCATGTCTATGTGCTCTGGTTGGATAGAATGTAGCATAAGAGCACAGACCTATATAAGGCTACTTTGAAGTTAGTGCCATTGCCCAGCTTACCTGTCCGAATATATCTCTCCTTATGAACCATCTAGGAACTTGAGATCATCTGGGGAAGCCCTGTTCTCGGTCCCACCTTCTTCGCAGGCGTGTCTGGCAGGGACGAGAGACAGGGCCTTGAGACAGGGCCTTCTCAGTGGTGGCCCCTTGGCTGTGGAACTCCCTCCCTAGGGCTATTAGATTGGCCCCGTCCCTTCTGACTTTCTAAAAAAAGTAAAAATCTGGCTCTTTGAACAAGCTTTTGGAAATGCAGTGTAATAGATAAACATGGAACGATGAAAGAACAAAACATGGAATGGCTCAGATGATGCTACTGGAAAATTAAATTAACAGGAAGACATTGGTGATGATATGTTTTAATGGGGTTTTTTTGTATGGAT